ATAAAAGGAATGAGACGGTTCACGATGTTGATGTCTACTAGTAAGTGGCACACGCATTACTAGTGAAACAAGGATAGAAATATCAATGTTATGTCTTTGATCCTTACTTTGGGATACTAAGTAAGTGCTCTATTGCTATTTGAAAAGTAATTGCATGTGAGTTCACACCTAGGAGCTAGGGTATGCATTGATCAGATGTGTCAGGGTTCTAAGGTAGAGATCTCAAGGATTCTACTTACCGTGGACCTTAGGATCATTAACATGTCAGAATTTGATATCATCCTTGGGATGGATTGGTTGATGGCACACTGTTTGATCATCGATTGTGATCGAAAGAGGGTCCCTGCCTACACAGTAGAGGGTGTTGGATTTAAATTTAAGGGGGTGAAACATGATGTTTTACCCCAAGCAGTGTATGATTCACGTTAGCCCGGACAATTGATAGACTGGCTTGAGAGCCTTACCCTAGAGGACGAGGCGAGACATGAGTTGTGTCTACCTTGCGTGGTTTGTGAGTATGAGAATATTTTTTCGGATGAATTATCGGAACTACCTTCACATAAGGATGTAGACTTCACTATTGAGTTGCAACCCGGTACATCGCCCATTTCTGTGACTCTGCATAAAATGACACCTATAGAGTTGCAAGAACTCAAAGTTCAATTGCAAGAATTGATGGACAAGTGCCTCAATAGACCGAGCGCCTCACCTTGTGGTGTTCCAGTGTTGTTTGCCAAGAAGAAGGATAAGACATTTTGGCTACGTATAGACTACCAGCAGTTGAATCGGGTTACTATCAAGAATAGATACTCTTTGCCGAGGATTGATGATTTGTTTGATCAACTGAGAGGGGCACNGTGGTGTTCCAGTGTTGTTTGCCAAGAAGAAGGATAAGACATTTTGGCTACGTATAAACTACCAGCAGTTGAATCGGGTTACTATCAAGAATAGATACTCTTTGCCGAGGATTGATGATTTGTTTGATCAACTAAGAGGGGCGCAGGTCTACTTCAAGAAAAATCTACGCATGGAGTACTATCAATTGAGGATTAGGGAGATAGACATCCCTAAGACGGCGTTTAGGACACGGTCTAGGCATTTCAAGGTCACTGTGATGCCTTTTGAATTGACTAATGCTCCGACGGCATTCATGGATCTTATTCATAAGGTGTTCCAACCCAGCCTAGATCAGTTTGTCATAGTCTTTGTTGATGGCATCCTGATCTACTCCAACTCTGAGGAGGAGCATAAGGGTTATTCCCCAGACCTTGAGAAACCATCAGTCGTACGCTAAGTTTAGCAAGTGTAAATTTTGGTTGACAAAAATAAAATTATTGAGACACGTGGTGTTCACTTCGGGGGTGTCAATTGACCCGGAGAAGGTTGAGGCGGTTATAAGTTGGGAAGGACCGAAGTTAGTTTTCGAAATACGCAGTTTCTTGGGATTGACGGGGTATTACAGGAGGTTCATTGATGACTTGTCTCGACTAGCTACACCTATGACGAGATTGACCTGGAAGGAGGTCAAGTTTCAATGGAATGACTCTAGTGAGAGGGCATTCCAAGAGTTGAACGGGAGGCTTACTTTAACTCCTATTCTGATAGTTTCGGAGAGGGGACAGAGGTACACAGTGTATTGTGATGCATCAAAGGACAGACTTTGTTGCATTTTGATGTAATCTGGGAGGGTAGTAGCTTATGGTTCTCAGCAGTTAAAGAATCACGAGCAGAACTACCCCCATGCACGACATGGAGTTGGCTGCCATTATCTTTGCTTTGAAGGCTTGACGCTACTATTTATATGGTGAGCACTTTGAGGATGGTTGTATGGTGTCTGAAACATGGTATATACGATGGAATTAGTAGTCTGTTAGACTTTTTGGTTGTGCTTTGCTTTGTTGGTTTGCTGCTTTGGTCTAGAGGGAGCTTTTGGAAGGAGTTGTTTTGGTTATTGTATATCGTTTGTTAGTTTTGAATAGGCTATGGCCTTACTTGCATCTTGTAATTCTGTTGGTTTTGTGAATAAATAAAATTTGTTTTTGTTTTAAAAAAAAGGTATATATATTGATTCATTAAACTATAATAGGTATGAGAAATTAAAAAATATTAAAAATAACTTCTTTCAAATATGCGATAGGTATTTTTTCTGTTCATTTTAATGTATTAGCCGCGAAAATAAGTTGTCACTAAAAACATGTTTCAAATTTTAGTTTTGATTTTAATTGTGGATAAAATGTATACTTTTAGTTGCAATTAATTGTTGTTACTAAAAACCATGTTTTAATTAGACTTCTAGTGGTGATATGGGACATTTTAGTGGAAAAATTATGTTAACTTGGTACAACAATTATTGTGGCTAAAGATTTCACATTTAATGACAATTTTCATACTGCGGCTAAAAAATTTACTTTTATCGGCAACAATTAAATGTCGTAGCTAAATGATTTAGTCATACACATATTGTCGCAGACTAGTGGCAATAAAAACATTGTCACTAAAGTATATAGTGACAATTTTAATGCATTTAACCGCAATAGTTTTCGCGGCTAAAAAGCCAATTTCTTGCAGTGATGTTAGGTCAAGTTTCAGTAAAATCGACTTTTATTCGATTTCTTCTGTGAGGCAAAGAAGGAATTATAGGTATTTTGGACAATTGCACAAATGTCCTTAAATCCAATATAATTTTTAGAATGGACTTCAAGCCCTATAAATCATAAAATATGGACCAACCTCTAAATTTCTCATTATTTTATCTAAGCTTGGATAGTGTACCAATTGGGCTTGCTACTCTCATTTATAGTTTTAACCAACAATATTAATTAAGAATGATAATTTTTTTGTTATTATTCAACCACGAAAATATGTTCAAACGATGGCGCCCGCTTCCAATTGGGAATCTTTTCTATGTTCCACGACATAGAATGAGCAATAGACTAGGACATAGTATTGTTATGCTAAAGTGATAGTATATTCTGTTATAGCATAATCGTATATTATGCTTAAAGTATGAATACGACAAACTTTCTTAGAAAAAGAAAGAGGACAAGAGAGCGATCGAGTGCTTATTAAAAAAAAAAAAACTGGTGAGTGTCAAATTTTGGTCTTGACATAATGAACTTGACCTGTACTATTTGTAGAAATATTTTTTTTTTAAATTTCTTTATAGGTATCATATAAATCCTTGTAAAATTCATGGACTTTTTACTGTATTTTACTAGCATATGAATTGAGTACATTTTTTGTTTATGGAAACCTATGGGTGGTGGGTTCCTTTGCGACTAAAGCGAATCTTGGTGTTAAGTTCCTAGATCACAAATTTTATAGGTCAAAACAAATAGGATGTTCTAATAAGTAGATCAGATTAGTTTCAAAACATCTAACATGATGGATTAAATGAGTTAGATTTTAGTTAAACAATATATGGCACAAATCCAAAATGACGCGACTCAATAAAAACATACTAATTGATGTTGTAGGTAACATTTTTAAGCTTTATGTTTCCAAAACTAACGTTTATAGAAATTGATTTATATATAAAAACACTATCAACGGCCTCGTGCGATGCATAAAATTAACACACATTCTCCTACCTTCTAGTCATCCTTCCCCAATCTTTTTTTTTTGTCTATTATCATACTATTTGAAAAGTAGATAGAAAATTATGAATAATTAAGTTGATAAGGATTGTTCTTAGTGGTGTTCATGGGCCGGATTACCCATGGGTCCTGTTATCCTGTCCAAAAAAAATAGGCCCAAAAGACCTGATAGACCCGATAGTTGGCCCGCCTGAATCTGAACCTAATACCCTTAAAAAGAGGGTTTGAATTTGCCCCCCAAATCCATTACTCGGACCAATAACTTGCTCGAACAAATCCGTTAAAAACCGAACCAAAAGCCCGCCCACCCTTCTTTTGAAAGAAAGTTATATTTTTAGAGTATCCAATTTGAAAACTTTGAAAAAAGTCCCACAATATCGGAATTTAAAGTTTTAAAAATTTAGATACTAAAAATAATGTATTATCTTCTTTTCTATGTATTAAATATACAAATTTTAAAGGATAGAGTAATGCAAATAATAGATAAGTGAGTAGGTGTCAATTTAGTTGANGTTAAAAACCGAACCAAAAGCCCGCCCACCCTTCTTTTGAAAGAAAGTTATATTTTTAGAGTATCCAATTTGAAAACTTTGAAAAAAGTCCCACAATATCGGAATTTAAAGTTTTAAAAATTTAGATATTAAAAATAATGTATTATCTTTTTTTCTATGTATTAAATATACAAATTTTAAAGGATAGAGTAATGCAAATAATAGATAAGTGAGTAGGTGTCAATTTAGTTTAGATGTATTCATTCTATTAGATGTAGTTCATCCCTAATCAAAAATAAAATTATTCAATATTTTATTTTTATTCATTTTAACTCTATATTTGATTCAAAAATATAATGTACACAAATATTAAAGTACAAAAATATTTATCATTTTTAAATAAATTTTATACAAAAAAATTCACAAGCAAGTCTGCCCACACCGACCCACGGGTTGGGCTGTGAGTAGACTATCCCTACCTGAAGCCCGGCCTAATCAATTCGACAACTCACTTAGGCAAGAGTTTAGGTTTATACTATCAAGGTCTGACCTTANGCCTAATCAATTCGACAACTCACTTAGGCAAGAGTTTAGGTTTATACTATCAAGGTGTGACCCGAAAAAATTTCATAGGCTTAATCTGACACGACCTATGACACTCCTAATTGTTGTGCATGTTTAGAAAACCAAAAACACCAAACAGAATTCCGTTGGAATTACATAAAATGTATCATATTCCTCCCCATTTCCTCATTCTCTCTCCTACTTTGTGAAAAGTAGGTCTATGCAAATAGAGAGTGCTTTGGCCACTGCTATTCAAATATCTTACCCCATTTAAATATGTGTTGATATAAATGATTTTTTGATTATACTGAATTAATATTACGCTATATTTTGCTAAAAAGTAACTCTAATGGAATTGTTTGGATTAAATTGTATTTTTGTTTTTAACGAATTTAAATATAGATTAAAAATAAAATAAGGATATATCTTATTGTACGCGGCATCTCATTTTGCAATTCAAGCATATCTTACTCGCCTGTCTCATCATTGCCATTGGATTCTCAAGGCAATTAAATCTTGCCCGTTAATGCACACTTGTAGCTCAACTATACAAGTGAGTTTACGGGAAATCCAAAACCAACTAATTATAACTTGATCATCAAGTTTATCAAATTTCACAAGGATTGTTCTGCCAGTTTAGGAAACCATAAACATCAAACAGAGTAGTTCTAGAGAGTTCTTTGGCCGCTAGGACTTAAGCTTATGTATAAGTAGCAGGTCCTCTCCAGGTTTCATCACTCTCCTCAAAAGTTTCACATTACTACTCCAAAACAACCCTAATCCTCTCTCACTTTTCTTAAGAAACTATATCTGATTTCTGTAGTTGCAACTTGCAACGAAGATCTTGAGAGATTTTGTTTTTGAACTTCTGACCGGTCTGAAGACGAAGGAAATCCCTATTACTAGGGATTTTATTTCTATTTTAGACGTTGTGATTGAGGGACATGATAGAGAAAAGGGGCTGATGGACGAAGAAACTCTCAAGGAGGCTGTGATGACCAATCTTACTCTGAGCAATGAGTATTATGAGTTATTCGAGAAAAAGAACGAAGAAAATCTCCAGGAGGTTTTGATCATGGACAATCTTTGCATGAACAAAGCACAAGGGTTGACGGATATTGAGGCTTCTGTGGATAAACCCACCATTGATTCTCAAGGGCTGAAGGACGAAGAAACTCTCAAGGAGGCTGTGATGGACAATCTTACGATGAATACCGAGCAACAATCGACGAATGAGAGTATTGTACATCAACCCATTGATGATTCTATTGTGTTGTTCGGGAAAAAAGTAGTGTTGCTGAAATCACAGAATTCTGTGGAGAAAGGTAAGCAAATCTCGAATTCTCTTGAAGTATGCAAAGAAGAGAAGGTTTGGTATCACAATATACCAAGGAAACCAAGGACCAAGAGAGTAGAGGGGCCTACTTCTGTGGATTGCCCCGAAGAGTCTGAGAATAAGAAGTTTTTTGAAAGTGAAAGTTCTGGAACAAAAGTTGTAAAGTCAAAGAGAGTAGAAGGATTCATGAAGCTTATTGCAATGGATTACACCACAAATTTTGTGAAGACAGCTTCAAAGAGGAAGTTTTTTGAAGGTGAAAGTTCTGGAACAAAGATTGTTTAGCCAAAGAAACCGAGGAAGAACATGCCACAAACTGATCCAAACCCAAAACCTGATCTACCCGTAGAGTTCAAGAATTTAATCAGTGCCCTGGGGGGTTCTGAGCCAGTGTTAGTGATACAAAAATCCTTGATCGACACAGACGTTAGTAATCAGCATAACCGGCTATCGATACCGATAAATGAAATCGAAGAGGGTTTTCGTCTAGAAGAGGATGAGAAGAGAGCATTGGACCTGTGCAATGGAAAGAAGTGTGGTGAAATATCAGCAAGCTTGGTTGGACGGTCCCTTGAAGAAAGAGAAATAAAACTGAGGAAGTGGGACATGAAGAACGAGACCCAATCTTGGAACACGTTTAGGGAGAGTAATGGACTGGAAGCAGGAATGGTTCTGCAGGTTTGGTCATTTCAAGTTAATTCAAGGCGGTGGTTTATTCTTGTTAACAACCGAGAAGAAGGTTCGAGTGACGAAAGCAACCGATCTTGTGATGGTGCAAGCACTAGCAAAAGCAGTAATATTGCATCGACTACTGGCTTCAAAACCCAATAAGATTAGGAATTTTTATTTTTGATTTTCTGCTTTAACTTGTAGATATTACTCTAAGATCTTAGTATTTGGGGTTTCAATTTACCCAAAAATAGAGGTTTTGTAGATTCATATAGTATAAATGATGTTATTTGAAATAAATTCAATCTTTTTCCTTGTTTTATAGTAGATGATGAGATTTTGATGACAGGTTCGACAAATGCACCACAAATTCCGTTCATGTGGATTCTGATTGTTATAAAACATTTCTAATTCTTTGTCTCTCTATCTCTCTTTAGTTTTTCATAATTGGAGTAATCATAATATGTGATCAGAAATTTAAAACATACATATTAGAAAACAGAATGCATGATTTTCCTGGGACTAATCCGTGCTTTTGATGGCTTAATCGAGAAGAGGTCTCAACTATAAATACCGGGTCACTATAGTACATGTTCAATATCAGAACTTTTTGTGAAAATAAGAGTTTAATACATAGATCACGCAAGAAATCAGCTGTACATGAAGAGTTTTTCTTCCCAAAACAGAATATTATTCTCAATATGTTCTGAAATATTTTATTACATCATGTAAGGATATATTGTTTTGACCTGAGTTTAATATGTTACACTTAATGTTATTTCTTCTGAAAGAGTATGTATAATATCTATAGCTGTGCAGTTCCAAACTAGCTTGGATCCGTTCATGCAACTTGGACCCATTTTAATGATACAATTTTATAGACTTAATCAACTATATTATCGTCTCATTTTTCTTTTATTTTTTTGGTGGAGGGAGGAGAGAGAGTTGAACTCTTGACCTTATGAAGACAAAGTCTTCACATAGTAAAGAATATCATTGACCAAAGACTCATTTAACAATAGATTATTGTCTCATTTAACAGTGAATTCTAATTTGAAAGGTTATGTCATGTTGTAGCCTTCCAACATGTTGCTTTAAAATGTCAGTGTATCCTCGAAAANTTTAACAATAGATTATTGTCTCATTTAACAGTGAATTCTAATTTGAAAGGTTATGTGATGTTGTAGCCTTCCAACATGTTGCTTTAAAATGTCAGTGTATCCTCGAAAAAATTGCACGAAAGAGGAGTCGCCTAAAAGCCACAGATGGAAAAAAGGAATTGGTGTTTTGAAATCACTGCACCTCACTAAACAAAACAAAGAAGAAATAAGGACAACAAAGAATTTCTAAAGTAACAATGGCAGTACATGTTGTGGCACTTGATGGCCATGGCCTTTGAATCGACATTAAGTAATTTTTAAACTGAATTGTCTCTCTAAAGTAATTTCGAATTTGCTTCTCAATTTACCATAGTTTCCATAAAAGCGTGATATATTTTGATATTAAATATTAAATACTTTCGAAAGAATGTTCTCAAAACACATTTACGTTGAAAAGAGCGGGTAAAATCACATTTTTATTACAACCACAATAAATTGAGAAGTTTGAAAGTACGATGAAAAAAGCATATAAAACTATTAGTCTTGTTATTCAAGATATAGCAAAATTGTAGAAGGATTTCTAGTACCTTGTCCAAATTGTAATAAGGCTTCAGTAATAGAGCCAATGAGATCCATAAACTCGCTGCCAAGATTTCAAATATAACCCAATGAGAACTGACCACTCTTTTTTCCATCCATAGAGCACCAACTAACATTCATAATTTTTACTAGGCTTATAGCATTCATATCTTGAAATGTTTGGATACAAAATCTCAGAAATGAAGACACCATGCACGTGAAACATACCCGTTTTGCGAGTTGGTTAAAATCAAAAACATCCATGGAAGGCTTCACAATATGTAGAAAAATGCAAAGCATGAAAATGGAATCTCAAATAACCATGCAAACGTTTTGTAATACAACTTCTGTCCCAGTGAAACAAAACGACGCAAAGTCCAATTGATAACTAAAGAGATGATTTAGATTACAAAGGTTAAGAGTAATTTGTGCCAGAGTGGGTCTATATATTTAGCTTTTGAATATAATGTAATTACAATATAATTGAAAACTTAAACAGACTTATAGAGGCCTTGTTTCAAAATACAACACATTGAACCTATGATGAAACCACCTCCTGATGCCAGTGCTTTGCATGAAGTGTCAAAACCTTTTAGGTAATGCACTGTTAAAATTGAAGAAAAGAGGAAATGAAAAAGGTGAACTAGAGGGGGGAGAGAGAGAGAGAGAGAGAGAGAGAGGGAGAGGGAGAGGGAGAGAAAGACAATGAAAATTATGTTTTCATTAACTAACTACTTTGGTTACATAACAGTGTATATATACTGAAGGTTTACATGTGCACCGCCTCACTTCTCTTAACCAACTAACTACTGACAAACTAACTAATTAAACACAGCTTGTAACTAATTTTAACAATTGTGACAGCTAAGTAGATAAGCTGAGGAAACAACACTGTGAGTTTCATTCTGCACACGTCCACTCAAGATGGAGTATGGATGTAAAGAATACCTAGCTTGTTGAGAAGAAGGTCGAACAAAGAAAGACCAAGTAGTTTGGTGAAAATATTCGCTAATTGCTTAGAAGAGGTGACATGAAGTGTCTTGAGAGTGTTTGTTTGTATTTTTTATGAATGAAATGATAATCGAGTTCAATATGCTTAGTTCTTACATAAACCATTGGATTGAATACAATATGTAAGGTAGCTTGGTTGTCACAGAAAAGTAGGGTTGACTGAGAATAAGGGATTTAAAGATCAATAAAGAGGGCAAGTAACTTGGTCAATTCACAACCAGTAGAGGCTACCGCCCTATATCCTACTTTCGCAGAGGGGTGAGAAACTGTGGTTTGCTTCTTGGAATTTCATGAAATGAGAGAATTGTGTAGAAAGACATAGAATCTTGTGACAGAGCTTCTATATTAGGGCATCCAGCCCCGTCAGCATCACCTAAGGCTTTGAGATGTATTAGAGATGTAATAGAAAATAAAAGTCCTTGTGCTGGAGTTGTTTTGAGGTAGCATAAGATTATATGAGCTGCATCAAGACGAGACTATTTGGCAGATTCCAAATATTGACTTAGAGCTTGAACTACATAAGCTAAATCAGTTTGAGTGAGAGTGAGGTAAAGTAGCCTCCCAATTAGTTGTCTATAAATGAAAACATCTGTAACTATTGCACCTGTATGTTTATCAAGTTTCAGATGATGTCCCATTGGTGATTTTGTTATTCTTGCTCCAAAAAATCCAGAGTCTTGCAGAATTTCAATTGAAAATTTATGTTGATAGATAGAAATTCCTATGGAAGATCTAGCTACCTCAAGGTCCAGAAAGTACTTCAAAGTATCTAGATCCTTGATGTGAAATTGGCTATGTAGAAAAGCCTTAAGATCAGTTGCATCATTAGTAGCTATGACTATATCATCAACATAGACTAGCATAGCAATAAAAGAAGCATTTGTGACCTTGGTGAATAAGGAATGATTAAACTTGTATTGGATGAAACCATAACCAATCACAACACTGGATAATTTGGAAAACCATTGCCTATGTGACGCCTTTAAAAACCGGGGGTCCTTTATCAACTATTGACCATCTGTCAACCAGCGGAAATACCCGTGTTTATTGCACAACTCGACATCACGTCAATTACATCCCCTTAATCAGAATTATAACTCACACGTGTAATCCATGTACATTTTACCACTTGACCCAACTGAGGTCTATTTACACTCCCTTATAGTCCATTTACATCATTTGAATAAAAGGATACATAGTCCGAAAGTTTGGCAAAACAATTTTAAAATTTTAAAATTTTGGAAAGAGTATCGGTACTGTGTACTAGTACTGGTATGGCATACCGGTACGCTTTGCCTTCTAGACAACTCTGCACCGGTACACTTTATCCAGGTTTTGCCTGTTTCACCTGTTTTTGATTTTCAACCCATTCCAATCCACCTCATTTTCATCTAGCACTTGCATAATGAAGTTTTCCATGTAATACAAGACCCATACTAGTTCTATTACTATCCATTCCATATATTTACATACCAAAGAACATAATTTTCATAAATATTTACAAGGTTCAAAGCAAAGCCACATTTTGACTTTCTTCATCTTTGAGGTCCCACTTGAGGGCCTTCTTCCAGCGTGTATCCTGTATCTGAAATATTTTTCCGTATAGGGTGAGTCACGCCCAGTAGAGTATGTCCTACCAAGGCTATTCCCCAACCTAAGTGCATATGAATGTTGATGCAATATTTTACAACCAATAACATCCCAAACAAGAATATATTATTCAATGTTGGAACCTTAGCAATGTCATGCCATGAAATGAGATGAGACTCACTCATTCAATTCAACCCGAGCCAACTCCTTTTTCTTTCCATGCAACACCATAGGTATAAAATTGGCTTCCCAAGCCCCACCATTTCCACTACACACCTAATGACTATTTAACAATCTCCGGGTCTTTCTTGGGGTAGGTATTTATGGACTTACACCAACGGTACCCAACCGACACGGAATTTATAGACTTCCACCAACGGTTCTGTGTACACCGACACTTTACGGGCTCTTATACCAATGGAGTGCATCTCAGATCATTGGGTCTCTCACCCAATGGATAGTCTAGCTCTTCTTATTAATTACGACCCAATTCTTTATCCACACAACTGTGCGACTTAGTCGGATCTTCGATCCAACTTTTTTGAGCCCACCCATCATCCACCTATTTGGTATTTGATATCATCCATGCACACACACACCCACACCCACACTCATGGCTATGGATGCGATTCCTCCGTACAAATAAAATGTAATGCACCATAGCTAACTCAATGCCATGCCACATGTAAAGAATGCCTTATGAGAAAAATTAACCACATTTAAATATATTCGATGGCAATTTATATCCAAAGTATATAATTATCAATTTCATAGCAATACCAATATATCAATTAGCATATATCAACATTTTCATATCCAACCATAAATCACAAGCATGTTATCA